TGTAGGGAATCTCGGCCCCGGACCCCTTCCATGGAGGCAGAGGACTGCCTCTCTGTTCCTGGCCTAGGAGTTAATGTGGGGGACTTTTGCACCCCTGCCTGGCTTTCTGCTGAGTCTCAAGGGAATTTGGAACGACCAACACCCAGGTTTGTAATGACCTTAGATGTTGCTCCAGTACAGTCCAGGTGGTCCTCCACCAAGGACCTAGAAGCCCAGCTCGGATGCTGTGGACACAAGTGTTCGAGAGCCAAGGATGTCAGTGCCCGGCCCTGGTGCTGGGTGGACTTGGCCTCGGTGTGTGAAGGCTGCCTGTTGCTCTAAAAGAACCAGCTTTTCCCCCATTCGTGGCCAGCGCTCCAGGGAGAGACTGCCTCACTATCATTCACTCAGCGGGTGTTTATGAGGGGCTCAGCCTGTGCCAGGCCCAGGAATAAGTGCCCAGGGCCAGAGAATGTGGTGGCCTGGAGAGTCCAGGGAGATCTGGATTTGTTTCCTTCATCTAAAGGAACCCTTGGGCTAGTGAGAGAGACAAGACCTACTCCCTAATCAGAGAAGCTCTTAAGGCAAGATGTGACCCTCTCTACCACTGTGAAATTCCAGTTTTGATGGAGAAGGAGCTCATTGTGAGCCCAAGGCAGCAAAAGCCTCCTGAATGAGGGGGACCTGGAGCTGACCTCGAAAGATGGGTGGCGTGAAGTGCAAGGCTCATGTCCTGCTGCTACCACAGTCCAAAGTCACAAGAGTCAGACTATATGGCTTCACCCCGGAAACTCTGACTCTGTTGGTTACCAATTGTATTGCCTTCTCTGTGCCTCAGTTTTCTCATCTGGAAAATAAGGATGAAAACATATCTGCTTCATGAGGCAGGATTGAGACCTCTCTGAACTTCAGTCTCCTCTTCTAGGATTGTGGTGGGGATTAAAAGAGTTCATGTAAAGTGCTTTGCACAGTGCCTGTCCCATAGTAAAAGCTCAATAAATGGCAGGTGTTAATAAAGAAAGTGCCGCCCCACCCTGCCATCCCTAACTCCTGGGAAAAGCCACAGGACCTTGCCCCCATAGAGATGTGACCTGTGCATAGTGGGTGATATTGTCTAGAGGACTGCTCCCCCTCCAGTCCCATCCTAAAGGAGGTTTCCTTTTCCCCTGCTTTTCTGTGTTTCTCCCCTTCCTTCAGTGGAGCTCTATCTCCAAAGCTTCCCTTTTGCTCACTTGCTCTCCGAGACTTCGGAATGGACATTGCTGGCCATCTGGAATCCTACCCTGAGACTCCCAGGCCCTGTTCCTGGCTTTCCCCTCACCCACTAGGAAATACCAAACCCTTTCATACTTTACTCAGTCCTTAGCTTGGACAAGAAGGAAAAAGATTGAAGAAAAACAACCCAATATAAGCAGAACCAAGCAAGCAAGGGCTGAGTGGGCATGAGGGTTCCCAAGCCATCCCACAACCCTGAATCAGAGGGGCTCCCCCAGGAGGGGAGGGTTTCAGAGAAGGGCAGTGATGAATGTTGCCTGTCTTAGGTCGGGTTCCGAAAAGCAGAGCCTGAGACGAGGATTCTTAGGCGAGTTGACTTTTGAGGCCTGCTCTCCAGTGAACATCCTAGAGCAGTGAGGCAAGCAGCACAGGGAAGGGGAAGACACTGGGCCGAGATGTGGGTTCAGCTAAGTCTGGCCTCAGCCTGACCCCATGAGGAGTTCTGGAGGGCGGACGGCACCACAGAGTTGTCCCGTCTTAGGGGACAACTTTTATACTCCCCATAGCAGTATGATCTGTGAGCAGCCCCCTCCCCCAGAAGTGTGAAATATGGGCAGGTGCTCCTGAGGGCTGAGGGCATGTCCCTGGAGAAGGGGCCGCTGTGAGCCCTTAGTAGCCAACACCCACAGAGCGCGGGGTGGGAGCATCAATGGTGAGGGGCTCCAGACAGGGCACCTACAGGTATACTGTATTACCTAACACCAGCTTGAGTCTCTGTTTCCACCTCCCTGCCTTTGGAGAGGCTGTCTGCAGGCACCTGCTGATTCCCCCAGGCTAAGCCCTGGAAGCAATGACTTTGGCAGAACCTCAGAGAGCTCAAAGGCACTGAGGTAATCCAGCAGCCTTTGCTCCTGCAACGCGGGGAGGTTAGCAGCCAGCCTCAGGAACATCTCTGCCAGCACTTTGCCTGGCCTGGAATTGCCGAGCAAGGGAAACCGAAGGGGAGGAAGCGGAGAGCGCCTGTTGTCTCCAGAGGGGCCTCAGTTTTAGCTTTGGAGGTGACGGGACATGATGTGCCTTTCTGCTGCCCGGGCATGGGGTCTGGGGGTGTCTTTGGAGCATTAGGCTCCAAAGCCTAATGAGCCAATTAATTGAGCCAAAGCTGCTTTGCTTTGGCTCACCTGGCTGCAGGCTCCTGGTTGGGAGCTCATGGACGTTTAACTGGTGGAAATGACAGAGAAAGCAGAGGAACTGAGAGAAGAGAGGGAATCTGAGGCTCACATGGTCACCTGCTTGCTCATCTGACAGAGTCCTGACTGTCTTCATTTCGTTATGAATCTAAAAAGATTGGTTATTTGATTTAAGTCACAGTAGTTTTTTAAACTTTACTTTGAAATAATTATAGATTCATAGGATGTTGCAAAACTCCTAGGCACTCTATATTCCTCCCCTCCGATTCCACTACCAAAGTACAGGGTAGGTGGCATTATTCCCAATTTAAAGCCAGGTCAAATCACTTTCCACCATCATGTAGCCACTGAGCTGTGTACCCATTGCCCAGCTTCCCCCGGTGGTGATACCTTATGTAACAACCATACATCATCAAACCCAGGAAATTGATATTGGCACAACTCAGTTACCTACAATTACTACAGACCCAAGTAATTGAATTTTATTGTAAGGAGGTAGAGAGGGCCAGTAAGCAAGCATGCCAGCTGGTCTTTAGGAAGGAGACGGTAGTTTGACAATAGTCCCTGAGAAGTTCCACTCCCAGGCCTGACCACTTGGCATTCCCACCTCCAACAGAAAAGCAGGGGTGAACCTTGTTTTACATTAAGGCTTATTCCTGAAAACTTCCGTGAAATTTTGCTCTTTGGGACAAATCACATCATCTTTTAGGTGTCCTAAATGCTATTCTTTTTTAAAGAGGTACATGAGAAGTCCTTTTGCAAAGTAGAGCATTCTTTTTCTTTTTTAAGTAATTCTTTTTTTGGTTTACGTATATTTTCATAATTGGGGGCTTCTTCTGAGTTTGCTGGAAACAGAGCAGACCTGGAGCTCAGAGATTGGGCAGTGGTGTTGACCCCTGTGGGAGCACAGCTAGTCCACCAACTGGGAAAGATCTGAGATTTTACCCTATTTGCAAGCCAGTTAAGTTAGCTTACTCCAGTTTCATGGATGCCAGCTGAAAACACGAGACTCCTGGGTCAAAGACAAAAGACTTCATGATGGCACAGCAAGCAGCATGAGTATTGCCTCCAAGTCCCATAGGGCATGACGCCATGGGCCCAGAGCAATGCCTGCATAGGCAGTGGGTTGCATTGTAGGAGAGGAACCAGATCTTCAGGAGCCCACGTCTTTTATAATGGGCGGTAAGCAAACCTACCCCTTTTGCTCTGGAGAGAGACTATCCCAGTCTCCCAAGGCTCTAATGCAAACCTGCTGTTTGCTCCAGAGCA